AAAATGATTAGTCGTAATGAATTCATGCATGTCGGGGAAGGATCATTTCGATCTGGTTTGGGGACCCTTACTAGTTGATGTGAGTAGTATCCAACTAATCAGTGCGTCGGTGGCACAATGGTAGAATGCTCGCCAACCACGCCTCACGTAGTTCCGGGTTCGATCCCCGGCCATCTGTGGCGTAGGCGTGATATCCGACTATCGACCGAAAGGCGTGTGTACTGCTCATCAGTCCGCTCCGTCCTCCTTTATGGCTCTGAGACCTGACCATTGAGAGCGGAAGACATGAAAAGATTAGCTGTCTTTGATCATAGGTGTCTGCGTTCTATCTACCATGTGAAGTGGTATAACAAGGTGAGCAATATTGAGGCTAGGCATCGATCAAGTCCTAGGTAAGGAGGGGAAATCAATCGACGAGACTGTGAAGTTACATCAACTGAGATGGTTAGGACATGTGTTACGTATGCCTAGTCATCGCCTTCCTCGACGGGCAATGTTAGTTGACATAGGGTCAGGCTGGAAAAGAGCTAGCGGCGGTTAAACGAAAACATGGCACCAGTCAATACAATCTACAACAGTTAATTTAAGTCAACCACGTAGGAAGGTGTAAACTTCCTGGTTGGGGTCCTCGGGACGGTAAAAACCAATGGTTGGAAACAATTGGTGACATGGCTCAGAATCGCTCTCAATGGTTAGCGCAGATGCATCCACTCCTTGTGACTTATGATTTCCAACTAAACTGTTTTGTTCTTCGTTATTATTATTATTCCTTTGTCAATCACCTCTGTTTACTGTCATTATTATGCATTTCTTCTACTTTCTTCTCTTCCTTTGTGTGCTACATGGAGTGTGGCGACTTGAACTGCCGCACATATGTGCAAAGTTTTATGTCGAAAACTGACCGACCGACCGATCCCCGGTCACCGACACACTCCTTTACCTCGCTAATCCAGTAATAAGAGTGGTAAAGCGGGAAGGTTGGGCATGAAGCCGTCTAGCAACCCCATCCCGTAAAAATAAGCACCACTGCTACTGAGACTTCAAGCCTCCAGGTTTAAGCCCCATGTTCCGCTGAGAACGCAAAGGAATTTTTAAAAAATAAACTCCTATCAGCTAATCAGTAGTATATAGCACCATAAATTTATGCTCGCTTTCTTGATTGCTATTTGTGGTATCTGAGTTATTTTGATTCCCAAAGGAAATTCTGATGAAATTTCACCTGGAACCGGGTAAATTACGAGTTAGGAGTTAATTCGAAGATTGCAAGTTTGATCTCGTTAGGGAGGAGATAGAAAATTGACAATTTACTTCAAGGTTGTAAAACTTGTTTGGCCAGTGACATGAAGATCGTAAGACTGTGGTGAGTAGTTAGTTCATCATGAAGTAATCAATATGTAAACTGATCGACATTAGATTTATGAATTGAGAATGAAATAAAACTGTATCCACCGTATAAAACCCTCAAAGGAATTTATTGAAAAGAATATTCATCATTCACACCAACTTCTAATTCATAATCTGGGAATGCTTAACTCCATGGCGATTAGTACCTTTTTTTAAAGTATGCAGTATAAACTAGAGCCTAAAATATTATTAGTTTTGTTTTCAGAATGTTTCATGCAAATTGAAAACAGTGTTAAGGAATGTATGTATCCTTCATGTTCATAAATAATAAGCTTTATCCGTGTGTAATTTTATGTAGTTATGTCATGTCATGAAATCCCCATTTGTTTTTGCAAACATTATATACTGGGAATATATATATATATATATGTATATCAAAATTTTTTGTTGTGACAGTTTTAATGTAAACGTCTTCACATATTATCACTACACTAGCATACAATAGATTAGTTATATTTATGTTACGTTCGTTAGTCACATTATTCTCTATTTTTCATGTATATAACTTGAATTCACTTCATGTGAGTAAACAAAACTAGCTCAAAACTCAAAACATTGTCACATGGTTTTTTTTGTTTGCTTGCTTGTTTTTCAACGATTTCAGGGATTATTTTGGTAAAGTAAAGGTAAATCCACTTTAAATATCACTTTTTTGACAAATGACATTCATAAATTATGCTTAATATATTGTTCACTTCAATATTTAAAAAAAAAAGTCTCTTAAATGTCATTATATTTGCGATTATCTTTATAAGTATTCAGAAGTATTCCTGTTAGAATAAGTAGGGTCGAGACATCAACTCTCCTGAGATTTGCGAATACTATTACAGGATCCTAGACGGAGTGGTAGTTTTCTGTCTGTTTTCGACATAAAACTTTGCATATATGTGCGGCAGTTCAAGTCGCCACACTCCATGTAGCACACAAAGGAAGAGAAGAAAGTAGGAGAAATGCATATTAGAGACAGTAAACAGAGGTGTCAGACAAAGGAATAGTAATAACGAAGAACAAAACAGTTTCATTGGAAATCATGAGTCACAAGGAGTGGATGCATCTGCGCCAGCCATTGAGAACGATTTTGAGCCATGTCATCAATTGTTTCCAACCATTGGTTTTTACCGTCCCGAGGACCCCAACCAGGAAGTCTACACCTTCCTACGTGGGTGGCTTAGACTAACTTGTGGATTTCATTGACTGGTGTCATGTTTTGGTTTGACCGCCGCTAGCTCTTTTCCAGCCTGACCCTATATCAGCCAACATTGCCCGTCGAGGAAGGCGATGACTAGGCATACGTAACACATGTCCTAACCATCTCAGTCGATATAATTTCACAGCCTCGTCGATTGATTTCCCCTACTTACCTAGCACTCGACGCCTAACCTCAATATTGCTCACCTTATTATACCACTTCACGCGGGAGATAGAACGCAGACACCTATGATCAAAGACAGCTAATCTTTTCATGTCTTCCACTCTCAATGGCCAGGTCTCACAGTCATAAAGGAGGACGGAGCGAACTGATGAGCAGTACACCCGCCATTTGGTCGATAGTCGGATATCACGTCTATGTCAGAGACGGCGTAAACTGGCATATGCGAAACTAGCACTCTGTATCCGTGCTGAGATTTCATCAGAGATCAACCCGTTTGCACTGGCTGATGGTTCTTCCCAAGTTAGTGAAGCGGTCAACGTGCTCTACCACTTCGCTTCCTATTTCTAATCTAGGAGTCGGTGTAGTCCAATCCTGTAGTTTCCACTTGAAATTCGGTATCATTTATAAGTAAATTAGATATGACTTCCAAAGATCCACGTAAATGATACAATGGACAAAGTAACTCTTTCAATAATAAAGTTTACCTCAATCTACAAACAATTCCTTCACAACAGATAGATGACTAACATTTTCAAAGCAACAGCGAGTATGCAGTGATGAAGAAAGGTATCGTGTAAAAAAATTGTAAGAAGGAAGAATTTCGTATTCTTCACATTTTGAGTCAACTTTCACTGGTCACACATCATTGTGTGTTTAATCAACCAATATACCTTCGAAGTTTATTAAAATGTGGGAGTTTTACTTTTCTTGTTGAAGAAATTCCTGTGTATATTGTTTAGTAATTTCAAAATATGATATTGCCCTGAGATATCCTACCTATTTTATGAATGATGTTAAAACTTTTAGAATGATAATTTCATATTTGCAAAATTGTTATTAACATGATATAAGCGTAAAGCATGATCGAGAATAGTGTATGCACAAGGGGAAGAGGTGGTGTACTATGTCATTGTGGCATCTGTGGTTCAACTACTGGGATTTCATGGAGTCTGACGTCGTCTCATATCATATGTCGAATTCTATTAAAATTATTGTGTGATTAGTTGGTACAATAAGGATATAGCTTACAATTTTAATCATAAGAATTCAGGCGGTAACTTAATCTGTTACTTGGATGTTATTATACATTCCCAGTTTCTAAGTTGTTGTTGTTGAGGTGAAACAGCACTTAGCCTAGTGGGTTTTAAGATATTTAAAAAAATATCAAATGCTAGAGCATTTCTCTGACCTTTTCACTGTAAGACATTATTTTAAATTGTATCTAAATTCTATTTGAAGTCAAGTTTTATTCAAGTATTGGTTTGAAGTGATTTGATTGATTGGTAACAGGATTTCATCATCAGCTGACATTGGTTAGAGAACCATTAGAAAACCTGAGAGTAGTGGATATCTGTTTCGTCCTAATTTGGGACTCTTCAGTAGTACGCACCCACCCACAATCAATCAAATCCCTACAAACCAACACTCGAATATCAATGATATGCTCACTAGTGACTGGCCCTATTCAGGTAGGTAGTTACCTGGGTTCTAGTGGGACGCCGTGACCAGTAGGGTGCAGCAGGTCCGGTGTGAGGACAAATACTCGCCACCGATGACATTGGCTAGCGGTCGCGCTATGTCGTGGGCCATTGAATCGGGTCCCATCAGCTTAATGGTCTACGAGCTCACCTTATAACCAGAAGGTCCTGGGTTCGAACTCCGGTGGGTGCGTACTGACTAAGAGTCCCAAACTAGGACAGTGGAAACAGCCGTCCAGTACTCCCAGTTGGTTTTCCAATGGTTCTCTAACCGATGTCAGCTCATGATGAAATCCTGTAATCAAGTTTTATTTTTTGAATAGCGTAACAGTATGTGTTTCACTGATAGCTCTTGTTTTACTTAACATTTGGTTGGAGACAAAAGCTATTACTTAACATTTTTTCAAAAACTAGCATCTTTTGAGTTCGAAATCCTCAATGTCATGTTCTGCCAATCACCGGTACTTTTATCTGACATATGACTACTTTTCACACTTCTCGCAGTTAGCACGGTTATGCTTCGTTTTAAAGGCTGTAAGTATGCTTAAAATCTTCTTCCAATAAGTTTTTCTAATATCCATCACTGAAATCATGCAGAAATTACCATAATCAGTTGTTGTTTTTTATTTGCAGATGTAAATCTGCACTTTTTACCTGATTTACTAAAATATTTGATTTTTTCAAACTCGACCATACATTTAATTGTCTCTCTTATACCTTTCTCAATTTTTTTTATAAAATTTTAGTTCACAAAGTTCAACAGTTCATGAATCTAGACGAAATATGAATCGGTTCATGGATCCGATTACTGGTTTTGTTCATGACACATATTCTCATTCACATTATTTTACAAAAGGTGAACAACACGATACCAATATGAACACACGAGTAAGGTTATTCGTTTTCAGTTTCTTTCTTTTCTTCTTTGAATATTAAAATTTAAAGAAATTTTTAAATATCTTTACGATTTTTGTTTGTTCACCTTGGTGATGTGTCACTATTTATTATTCCCTTGGGTTCTGGGTGGAATACAGGGCTTCAGCAGAACGTCTTCATTTCATCATGTTTTCTGTAGTCCTCTTTACCTGGCCTTACGACTGCCCACAGGCTTTCATTTCTTCTTCATACGGTCTCCTCCATGTCACTCTTGGACCCACATCGAACTCGTCGTTTCCCATTCGATTTCCACTCGAAGGCTTGTCTGGCGCGTGGTGTCATTCAATTGTCTGATCAGCGTTTGTCCAATCCATCTCCTTTGTTTGTATGCGTGTTGGTTGGTTCCCAGAGTCCCTTGTTGCGAATCATTTCTGGCCATTTGATCTTCAGTGTGGAGCAAAGTCTCAGGTGTTGATAAAAGCCTGCATCAGGCTGCTGGAAATGCTTTTCGTGACGCGTTCAGCAAGTTTATGACCCATATAGAGGAAGTGACTGACTTAACATTGCTGTTGCTGACTACGGAATATTTCGAAACTGATTTTAGAACGATAAAGGTTTGTATTACCTTTCCTATCCTAGTTTTGACATCCTCATCCATGCCTCTTGTAGTTGAAACGGTGCTGCTTAGATGAGTGGGAGAAGTGACCTCTTTCAAATTCTTCCCAACGATATTGATTGGTGTCTGTTTTTGTTGTTGGTTATCTTCATCACCTCCGTCCTCTCTACATTTGCCTGAAGTCCTATCTTAGCTGCTCCTCCTCTACAAATTTTTCGATTTTCTCTTGTAGATTATCATTATGGTCACTAGTTGGCCAGTTAATAAGGAAGTACTGTTTTCTTTTATTGTACATTTATTACTATGAAATCGAAAGTGATATGCAACTGTCAGTTAAAAAGTAATAGAGTCTAATGGAGAAAAGTCGGAAAGTTGGTATCACGATGTTATACATCGTAAAACTTCACTTTACCTCAGCTTTGGGTGCTTATGCTTATTTGAATTGTGCCAATTAAAATATATATTCACTACTTTTAGCGACACATAGTATTTATATGAATTGGGTGAAGTTTTTCACACAAAAAAAAACGCGAAGTAATGAATCAGTCAGCGAAACATTTTGTCCGATCTTGTAGTCATCATTTGATCTTGATTTCATCGCCTTTTTAAAATTGATTTGATGGGTAAAATGCCAAAGGTGAAAGTTTTAGATAGCGTTGTAGTGGATACTGTATAAGGCAATACCACTTCTATGGCTATTTATCTTGGGCATACTAGGAATCAGTAGGCGAATATAATCGTATTCTGACTTCATTGAAGCTAAGATATCTTAATAACGTATACTTTTTTGAATTATTGAAAAAAATCGTCCCCTGGGAAACTATATTTTGTTGAGCTTGTTGTCAGATGTGTAAGGCTTCATTGTAATCTGTCTGGTTTACTATTGTACCGAAAATTTTTGACTTTGTTTACCAACAGTATATGATTGTATCATGCCTCTGTTTTTTTTAATTTTACGCTTATTTACGCGTCTTATAGGTCAACATTTTATCGAGATAATGCCGAGTATGATATTATAACTGACAGAATATAAGTTATTATTTTTTTGTCATTTTCCACGTAATTTATTCACAATTAAGACTTCGAGAGTTAGGATCGTGTTATTCATGTGACTAGATATTTTACTGACACAGGATGGGGAATATTCAATACTAAAAATAAATTATTGTTTATTAACTTGTGTGTGTGTGTGTGTGAAAAACATGCGTATAAGACAGAAAATTCCGTTGTTTCTTAACTCTGTGTGAAAAATGAATGAAATTTTTGATTGTTTATGCATTTATTGAAACAGGAATTACAAACTAGCGCTTATTTTATTTGTTTATATTCATTCAGTGTTTTCATCATCCAGTCAATCTAGTCAGTCCGTCAGTCAGTCCGTCAGTCGGCAATCACATGAACAGTCATGTAGTAGGCAGTTAGCAGTCACCTAATGTGTGACGGCTAATGTTGATTATATGAAACGCACTATTTTAAAATGCCTGTTTCTTTGTGTATTCCTCCAACCACCCACCCACCCACCCCTGAGCTTGCTAATTACTCTTTTGTGAGATTGTAAAGAGACAAAAAACTTACTTTTCTACGCCTAAACCTCTTATGCATCCAAAACGATTCACGGTTTACCATGTATATTAATGCTGGAGAGTTGAGTAATAGTAATAATAATTTAGACTTTCTGATTGGAGAGAACAATATAATTCCCTAGTTGACTGAAATCCCCAGACTCGGATTTTCAGCATAGATTAATAACGAGAACTGTATACTAATGGAGATTATCCGTATCTCAGTTATTTGAAGTCAGCACTCTCACTGTAGGATTTGGAAATGTGACAACATTCGAATTATGCCATCACTGAGATTAATTTGAGTTATTTGCAGTTTGATGATATACTCGACTGATGATACTTCAACCCTAATATTCAAGTTGACATGATTATTCATGAAGCTGAGCATTCATCTTCCATTATGGGTAAATTTTGTTTTGATAAAGTCTCACAGTGTTATACAGTAATGTTTACTGATGACGTTTCGAGCACAATTTATTGCTCATAATTATATCAAGGTAATCACACAACTTCCTAAATTCATTTATATAGTTCCGTTGTTGTTCACTTGATTTGATTGGTAGTAATATTTTGCATATTTCGGGTATGAGTGGTGAATCATTCCTATTGCATGTGTTGGGTGTAGATTCGATGAACAAGGATTCAGTAATCAACCTCTCTCTCCACCTACATAGATTACTTTTTAGAATTTTAACCCTCTCCCACCCTATTGTGTGGTTGTGTGCTAATGCATGCATTGCAATTGCTGAGCTTTTTTCTATATTACTGATCTTCTCTGGGTCAACCATTCTTACCTTAGCTAAATTCTTATGTTCTGACAATCTGACTACCCCTGACCTACTAGTTTGACCTATGTAGTTGATCTCACAGTCATTGCAGGGTATTTTGTAAATTATATTATTTTGTCTAATTGGGTCCACTGGGTCCTTTAACCTACAGAGCTTGTCCCTGAGTGAGTTTGTAGGTTTAAATGCCACCCTAATTCCTGCTTTATTTAGAATCCTACGTAGGGTCTCAGATGTCCCCTCTTTATATGGTATAACTGTAGATGACTTATATTCTCTCTTATTTATGTTATTATTACTATTTTCACAATTCTTTTTGTTTCTCTTTTGGCCTTTTTCAATCTTCCGAATGAATTTTATGGGATAGTTATTTAACACGAATGCCTCTTCTATCTGTTTTATTTCATCATTTAGGTCTTTTTTGTGCTACTTAGTGCAATTGCACGGTTCGTTAAACACTTAACTGAGCCTGCCTTAACAGTTAAAGGATGAGATGAATTAAAGTCTAAATATTTATTAGAATGCGTTGGTTTTCTATTAACACTAGTGTGTAGTTTGCCTTCTTCTATTCGTTCATCGAATCTACACCCAACACATGCAATAGGAATGATTCACCACTCATACCCGAAATATGCAAAATATTACTACCAATCAAATCAAGTGAACAACAACGGAACTATATAAATGAATTTAGGAAGTTGTGTGATTACCTTGATATAATTATGAGCAATAAATTGTGCTCGAAACGTCATCAGTGAACATTACTGTATATCACTGTGAGACTTTATCAAAACAAAATTTACCCATAATGGAATTACACTCTACCACAGTGCACTAGTTTTATTCTCATATCGAGGATTCATCTTCTTATCGGTTGTGAAACACATGCTACAGATTGTTTTCTTGTACTACATTGGAGATAATATTCCAAATTTTTCCTTAGGCCTTTTCATATTTGGATATGCAAGTTGGTTTCATTTAGAAGAAAAGGAATTGTATTTCACAGTCTTCTATGTTAGATTATCTTGTTTCTCTTGTAATAACTTTTTTAGGGTCAAACGGCCTCAGAAACTGAATATTTTGATCGTATCAATAGCGATTTGGGAAGTGATGTGGACTCTTCCTCTTGTCCAGATGAAGTAGAAGCTCCATCACCACCCACATGTGGAAATGAATTGCCTAATTGGCAAAATTCAAATGCTAGATCTGATGTTAATCTTGACCCTATACAAGGAATTCCAAAAACTGATAAAACTCAAGTATCAAGAAGATCTTCTTATAGTTGTCGCAATAGAAAACATTATTGTCCGAAATGTCGTTCTCGGCCGAATGTCTCGGTATCATCAAACACTGATTCTGGTCCACTTAATAGTGTCGAGGAATTTAATAATGTCAAGAACAGTAATGATGGTAAATCACTTGAATCCGAAGAACTACCGTCAAAACCAGTGAGCGTTCCTATACAAGGCGACAAAATTATGTCGAATATAAATGAAGAAATATTGCATTCGGCGGTTACATTTGAGCAAAAGGATCAGCATTTAGAGGACGAAGTAACCAAGGAAAATTTGAGAAATATTCTTCTCAAAACTCATTTGGTAAGTAACCGCTTCTTAACTAAGTTTTCAACTTTTGTATGCATACCTTCGGTTTCTCTATCTGGATGGTTGAAGTTTCGCGAATGCGAAGAAGACGGAAGTCTTTTTGCTGTTGTCAAGTTGCTCTTCACTGTGTAGATTATTTTAAAGGAGGGATTTATTGTGATGGAATGACCTGTGTTGACAAGGTATTCGATTATCGCACTCCTTATAGAAGAGCCACTACTACGTTTTTACAGCCCGCATGGCTGCTGTTGTACAGCCAAGTGGATGAATTCGCCTATAAGTGTCTCTTCGTTGAACTAAGTGTCTTGTTTTGATTAATATTTGCTCTTTGGAAGTCTATTTGCACTCTTAAGAATGCTTCGTAATTATTTAAATTGCCTTGGCTCCTCTACGAGCTATATATATATATATATATAATTATATGATATGATTATGAGCAATAGTTTGTGCTCGAAACATTATCATTTATTATTACTATACAACACTGTGTGATTGATCAAAATAAAATCTTATCCCTAATGGAGATTCAATAAAGGAATCGAAATGAGCGTTGAAGCAAAGTAGCTTTGATATTACATGCGAAATGGATAAAATGTAGGGATTTGAAGGATATTTTAAGAGTGAAGAGGCTTTTAAGCTAATATCTAACATGCTTATATGGACAGCTAAAGTTTCAATAATACGAAAGTGGTGGACGTATTGTTTGATGGTTATTTTTTTCTTCCTTTGCAACTAACTTTGATAATATATATATATATATATATATAATATATATATATATATATATATATATATATATATATAATATATCCTGTAAATTGAAAAGAATATTGTTGGTTAGATATCCTCGTTTTGATCGACGATTAGAGATCACAGGTCTCCGCATAGCTGTTGGCAGTCTCGCTGATATTGCTACAGTATGTCTAACTAGTGATGAGTTCTTCATCTTACTACAATCATTAATTGCTTTTTTGCCTAGCTGTCATGTGAATCAGTAGTATGCAGTTATCCATCTATCATTATTACTATTTATCAAATAAATTTGAAATCACTTGTTCCTCTAAAATTAATGATAACTGTGGAGTGATAGAGCTGGATATAATGTACGAGAAATCTAGTGATGAATTGCTGCTACACATGCATTTACTTGTGTGTTTTATTTGCTTAAGCATTTCGCTTTCGGCTAGTTGATGGATGTTATCTTGAATTTCTGGCTTCTTTTAGGAATTTGACACGCCTCTAAAGAGCGGTTATTCTACTCTTAGTTTAGTTTACTATTATCAATTTCCGTAAAGCCATTAGGTAATATTAGCTGATTCCGTGATTTCACCACTATTAGTCAAACTGACTGTTGGTTAGGAAATTTCTATTCTTTCTTATAAATGGGATCCATTCCCAGTAATGGTGACCAGTAATTCATGTCAGCGGTCGTTAGAAAAATGAGAAAAAAACACGTTATCATTTGATTGGACAATAACTAGTGTCATACGTCTAGTCCTTTGTTTACTGCGGACTGAATTCTGTCAGTCAGTTTTGCAATTTGGCTACCATACTCGGTGGCTTTCCATCATGGTGTACTCTGAATTGTTGTTCCTTCAAAACTGCAGACACACATTACGGATGAGTGCCGACAAGCACGATATCTAGGTCAAACAAGGCTTCCTACCGAGCTGCCTTTAACTATCTAATAACAACGTTAGTTAATATTGACTAATATTTAATTTATTTAAGCGTAAAGTTTTATAAAGAAGATTTGTTAAATATTCAAATTATTGTTTTATTTTTCCTTTCCAGAATAGAGATTCATATGCTTATGATAATCTGAAATCTGCCAAGGATGACACTGGTATGTTGTTGTAACTTAATTCTTTAACATTATCATACTATCAATCTTCTAATCATAGTTCTTGCTGTCATCCACTAACATATATTATTTCGTTTTTATTTTTAAAGAAAACAATGCTATTGTTGTATTTGCAAAATTATCTACATTTTATATGTGGATAATATTTTACGGGATAGCTTTTTGTGTAACGTAATTTTGTGTACACACCATTATAATAATATTGTTATTCCCTTAGATTCAGAGCAGAAAATATGGCTGCAACAGCATATTTTCACTTCGCCCTGTTCTCTTCAGTCCTCTTTAGCTGGCTTCACGATTGTGCATACACTTTCATCTGCTCATCACATAATCCTTCTTCGTGTCATTCTCGGACCCATGCTCAACTCGTCGGTTTCCACTCAAGGTTCTGGTGTGTGATGTCACCCGACGGTCTTTTTAGTGTATGTCGGATCCATCTTTATTTCCATCTACATATTTGTTGGACAATAAGTTGTTAGTTGGTTTGTTCCCTTTCTATTGCTGATCCTTTCTGGTCATCTGATCCCCAGTGTGTGGTTAGCGAAGGCAGCATTGGTGATGAAAGCATTCAGTCTTCTAGATGCCTGATTTCGTGTATACACTAACTAAAACCTTTTTAGTAGCAGAATGTGTATAACATTTCTCATGAGAAGTGTTGTGCTTTCAAAATGCTTGCATGTCTCAACGCTGAATATAACTTTTCGAAAAACAGGGTTGTTTTTCAACCTTATCGGTTAGAAAGAGGTAAGATAAATAGGAAAAGTCGAAGTAATTGATGATCCATAGTTGGGATCATACATTTTTAGCCTGAAAGCTATTCTATACTTTATGCCCGACATTTCGCGATAAATATTGTGCCTACAGAAATCTTAGTTTTTCTAAAAGCACCAATTAGTTTAATTATGATCACAAGCTACCTTCGTTTTAAATCTGCTTAGTAGTGTCATTGAATTATATCATTAAAAAAATTTTATTCCTTTGCTTTCCGAGTGGGACATAGGGATTCAAGTTTTTCGAGCTCTGAAGTCCCGGTAGCACTGGTTTTATTAAAACGGAGTGGGGTTGCTAGTCTCACGCCCAATCTCTCTTTCTTTACCGACCTCACTACTGGCTTAGCGAGGTCTAGGAGTACGTCCGCAGCAGATCGAACTCCGTACCACGTGAGGTGTGGTTGGTTAGCATTCCAACTCTGTACCACAGACGCAGTCTCATTAAAACCGGTGGTTATTTCATTTCTGTATTTTGGCTTGTTAACTGCAAAAAGCATCAAGTCTTTTAGACGGTAGAGTTTTTTTCAGAAGAATCACCAACCGAAATCTTATTATTAATGTTTAAATGTCATTTTTTTCTTATTTCTTCTTCAAACAGTTCGTTGTTATATGTGGGCTGGAGAGAAGTTGTCAAAATTCAATCTAACCATGTTGGATATTGGAAAGAATGTAATCTATGTAAGTGATGAAATTGTACCATATTTTTTTAGAATCCCTGTAATCTGTTTTAACCACTCGATTGCTTTTGACTCAATTCATCTCATAGAGTTCAACTCACCCTCTTCTGTGAATACTTTACTTCATGTTTTCATGCGTCTTCACTTTGTTAAAAGTTTCCAATGTCTTGAGAATTTATAGATACTTAGAGCGACTGGCTTCCCTCTTTGAATTGAGGCAGAAAAAAAAATTAATTCTTTGTAGTTAACTTTACACTCATAGTGTTTTTAGGCAATACATTTGGAACATTCTGATCACAAACGTATTTGTCCTATGTATATACACATATGTATGTATATTCATATATACATGTGGAGAGGACTCATCGATATTAGCGGTTTAGGCTCACTGAACATATTCCAACAGACTACAGAAGTCAGCGAAATCATTTAACTTTAATTGACTTTAGAAATAGATGTTCACTGTCATCTATCGCAAGGCACATCTATACAGACGGATTGTAAGGTTGGTTGTAACATACCTTCTCGACCTACATATATGTATACAATATGGGTTTGTTGAACCTCTAGCTATAAATAAGTTTAAACGTATTTTATGTGTTCAGAATTTATTTGCTAGTAAGCTGAACTTCCCTCCGTAATCTAATTTTAAATCAATAGTTATCTATTTACATATTGATGTTATTTTTCTATAACGTGTGGTCTTGACCTCTTAATGAATTAATGTTTGACCTTTTGTACTTGATTAATGTGTACGAGAAATGCGTGTGTATGTGTGTGTGTGTGTGTGGTCAGAGTGCTTGAAATGTGTTACACCAGTATACTCGACACGTATAAGATAAATTACGTTTTCCTCATCTCTTACTATCATCAAGGAAACAAAATGAAAGCAGAGGTGAAGTTATTTGACTTTCAATATCTCAGAAAGAATGGTTTTGTCAAGGAAGCTTAGAACGCAGTTAGTTGTGGATGGAAAATCCATGGGATTAGATCTAGCAAGCCTATTATCACGGGCATAAAATTACAATATCGTGAATTGAATGTATTACAATAAGATAAATTCAAGTAACTATCTTGTGAAGTTCCGTATCTTTGATTGAGCTGTATTTGTTCTTTGGGTAGTGGTTTTAACTAGTTGCTCAAATTAAAGCTTTCAACTTATTACGCAAAAGCTTAGAACTACAGTCAGTCAATTTGAATGCCTGGAACACTATGTGAAGCTAGAAAGAAGGTATCTTGGATGTTACAAGGATGTCGGAATGGTGACGAGATGTCTTATAGATTTAACCTGTACGAGAATATCATTGAAAGCACATCTTTACACATTCTGAGTTTAGAAATTAGTTCTTCTGAAATGATAGAGTAATGCAATTGCTTCATTTATTATTATAGATTGATACTGTAATGGGAAAAGATAAGAGAATTTGGAACGGGCTTTTTTATTGAGGAAAAACACATCATACTTATACATTCTTAACCAGATTAAGGTTCGACTAGGTCAGAGAAGAATAGATTGTTCTGATAGGTTGACAATTGACCCAACGTTGTTAAGCAAGTTGTCCAATGAGGTTATTTCACTTCTAAAACGTAAACTCTGCAGCCATTGACTGCAAATGTTGATTTCAGTCTTGGCCGCTTCATATCAATTTACATAACGCTACACTATCGAATTGGATTAACTGACTTGGAAATAAAACTTATTTTGTTGCAGTTGGGTTCTCTGAGGTGCATGTTTTATTGGCGAAGCTTTTATTGCCCGACTAGGCAACATCTTCAGCACATAGTTCAATTTAAGGAAGCACCCAGAATGCTAGAGAATTTTTAGAAGCACGGTATTCCAGCGAACCGTCAAGCATCTACAAAATAAATTGTAACAACTGCGAAAAACACTACATTGTTCAAAGTGGACGTCCTCTTCGTCTTAGTATCCATGACCATAAACTAGCCGTCAGAAAACATATCGCTGCATACAGACAACCATGGACATTTATTTGACTGAAAACGTTCAAATATTAGACAGAGGAAACACCAAGAATGCTAGAGAATTTTTAGAAGCCTGGTATTCCAGTGAATCGTCAATCAATAGACACATTGACATAGACAAAATTTACCAATCGATAAGAAGGAAATCTCACACACAAAGGGTCAAAGTTCAAGTCAAGGAAACAATCAGTTCCAATACAAGTAGCCTAGAGGGTGTGAAAACACACAAAAACAACCAATCACGTCCAAGGTCACCAGGAGAGATGATTAATAAGCTCGTGGAGAAATCTAAAAGCTCACTTAAATTCAAATTGAAGTATGCTCTAGAGATATCGCCTAGTAGGGCGATGAAAGCTTCGCAAATTAACTATCCAGCTCAGAGAACACAACCACTCCAAAATCATCCACCTGAGCTACAAATCTTTACCATCATATCTAGTGGCGGGGATGCTTCTCACAGAAGTAAAAGGGCGAATGTGAACATCTGGCGCTCCCAACCGTACTGGTAGACACATAGGGAAGCAGGAAAACCATTATTCCAGACCTATGTGTACATGGGCTTTAGAATCCAAAAGGATCAAATGGTCTATGAACCTCTTTCAGTCATGGAAAACCATGGGAAAGTACCGCCTGACGCTACTCCGATGCCTTGTGAATCAGAATTAAAGTCTAAGGCTCAGAGAGTGGCCGCAAAACACGAAAACAACCAATCACGTTCAAGGTCACCCACCAGGAGAGATGACTAATAAACTCGTGGAGAAGTCTAAAAGCTCACTTCAACAAATTGAAGTATGCGCTGAAGATGTTGCCTAGTAGGGTGATGAAAGCTTCTCAAATAAACCATCCAGCTCAGAGAACACAACTACATCGAAATCATC